TTATAGATTATTATATTTGAATTCGAGTTAAATAAGAATAATAGTGCCTTGTATTTTCGGAAAAATAAAATACTTACTCTTGATTAATTCATGAGGTTTAGATTGGCCTCAAGATTTTTAGTTTTAAAATTTTACATTTTTACCTTTTGAAGCTTTTTAAATACGTGTCAATTATTTTCTTAGATTTTCTTAATGATTGGGAGATTAATTTAAATAAAATAATTTAATTTTATAGACCTAAACATTTCAACTAATCAACTTGTAATATTTCAAAATATCAATTTCATTATAAAAACTTTCTGATTTGTATCTTTAATTCTTTTTTGAGTGATATAAGTTACAAATCATTAAAAAAGCCCATATTTTAATATCAATTTAAATAAGTTGCCATGTCCTAAATGTTGGAATTCCTTAAATATTGTTTGTTTCTCAGGAAAATTAAGGGTTGTTTGAGATATGTTTCTTTTTTTACGAAAACTCTGTACTATAGATATCTAGTTGACTAAATCACAGTGAATATATTTTTGGTAGATTTTTTTTAAAACTATTTTTAGATTCTATGATTTAAATAGTGAAAATTCTGATAATAATTTTAAAATTTTAAAAATACAAAATTACATAAAAATGAAAGATAAAATTTTGATAAATATATAAATTCATTTCATTTTTTTAAAAAATTAATACAGGTAAATCATAATATAATATAAAATATATCATGTTACAAAATAATAATTATACAAAATTTACAACATGTATATTAATTAATTAATTATATTGTAATTAAACTAAATGTTTAGTTGCTAACTACCACTAATTTATAAATATACTCGAACATACTTGAACAATTATTTAAATTGAGATTCAATTTCTAACTTGCTACCAAATTCATATTCAAAATTCGAAAACATTGAAAACATAGAATACAATACTACTTTTTATTGAATTTGTTGGTGGTAAAATCAAGAATCAACGTGTGTGCGCTCGAGCTCAGTTCGAAGTCACAAGAAGGGATAAAACGTACCCTCCATACCGACATCACACTGAGTTATGAAGAACCCAACCTTAAGTTCAACCATCGAACTGGGGGTTCGACAGCCGTAACCGCCGGTCGGAACAGCTCCAACAACAAGCCTTGATTGTCAAATACGTAATTCTGTCTTAGAACGATCTACTACCGTTCGAATTGACTCTAACTTGAGTGTCAGAGTGTTTATTCCTTGTTCAGGTTCCACTATGACTTGAAGTCGCACCTCGACAACTCGTTAAATGGCACGATATAAAATTTCGTACAAAATCGAAGTTGGAATTTAAAAGACTCGACTTTAGTTAGACTTATGGGACAAGAAGATACACTTGTTCTTATCACAAGATTCTTTTGTCTCTTAGTAAATCAAATGGATTGTTTTACTCTCTATTTTTCAATTAAAACATTAGGTTAAATTATAAAAAATAAAATCTCATATTTTGTTTTTAGTGTTTTATAATTTTCAATTATACTCTCTTATCCTTTAAGTCGGGTTCAAAAGAATCCTTTATTAACATTTTTCTGGGTAAATTAACTAATCCAATAGGGGTAAAATTAAAACTTTTTGAATATTATTGAAAGTAAAATGGAAAGAAACTACATATACAATTAATATTTTGAGTAATTTATTTGATTTTAATATTGTCCTCAGTCTATATATTTAGTTTCAATTTTACCCTAATATTTAAAAGCATCTTTTTTTAGCAAATTAAAATATTAATTTAGGTAAAATTGAAACGTCCAAAATATTAAGGATAAAATTAAAGTAAACTATATAGATGAAGGACATTTAGTATAATTTAGCTTAGAAATAATCCCCAATAATATGGAAATTAAAATAAAATAATTTTAATAAGTTGGGTTATTGATATTATGGTTACCCAATCTTTGAACTTGACCAAATAAATTGTTTAAGCACATGTATTGTTTAGTGCTAATATTGAAAGGGATTTGACTACAACCTTTTAGTTAGGTAGTCTTATCAATTCTTAATTATATTGTTTTTATTTGACTTTTACACCTATTTAACATTTTGTAAATAATAGTTGTACTAAAGGGAAAACATTTTGTAAATAATATGAACAGACAAAAGTAGATATGAACATAATCCAAAGTTAAAATAACTAATTCAATTTTTAAATTTAAGCGCTAAATAGACATTATTCTCAAAATTTAAAGACTAAATTCATGATGTTTAATTTTCTAATTCGTTCCTACGATAAGATTTCGTAATATCGAGTCTATGTTTGATATATGAATTTTTTTGGTTCGTCGGGTATGAGTTTCTGACATTGTTCGCTGTATAAAACTAAATTACATAGCTTAGATTTATGAAACCCAGGTTTTATATTAAACATTAGATTTTACCAATCACAAATTTACAAATAAAACAAATAAATTACATGAGTTCTAATTTTAAATACTATTTTGGTTATTATACCCTCAAAACATCCATTTTGAATCTGTTTTGATTTCTATACTTCTAAAAAATACTAATTTTGTCTCTTTATTTTCATTTTATTTTAACATGACACCTCATTCAATGATTTTTTTTTATTTTTTTTGAAATGTAGCTATAAATTTATATTAGAAAGATTTCATTGTGTATAAAATTTGTGTTAAAAGAGACAAAAATATCACTTTTTAAGAATACCAAAATCAAAACAAATATTTTAAATGCATAAAACTAAAATGAAAAAAAATAAATAAATAAATAAAACCAAAGAACTATGGACTAAAATAGTATAATAATAATAATGCACGAGTGACATATTTAAGATGACTTTTGTGATGGCATTAAATGCTGAGTTGACATACTTGATTGAGTGAGACCAAATGCAACTATGACATCTATATTATAGTGGTGTGGCCATATTCATCACCATCAAATTTTAACTAAAATAATAATAATAATTAATAATAATAGTCTTCTAATTATACTCCAAAAAATTATAATAGAGGTTTAGATTTTCGATTTTATATATAATAGGTCGAATGGTAAAAGTAACTAATAAATTTCGGATAGTATGCTAATTTTTTTTTTAACTAAAAATAATATGTACTTTTGTTTAGTACAATATGCAGGAGTGTAATATTAAACTCACAACCTCTTAATCTCTTAGTTCGAGATATATGGTAATTACTACTGAATTATATTGGCAAAATAGTATGCTACTTAATGACTTAAAATAACTAGATTTTTTTATATTTTTTAATATTTTGTTATTAATATTCTTATTTAATCTTTAACTTCTATGTCAGAGCAAACATAGCTCAGCGGTAATTGTCATATATCTCCAACTAAGAGGTTGTGAGTTCAATCCTTCAAGATGGTCAGTAGTATACCACTAAACTAGTGGTAATTACTAACTAAATATATAGTAAATCTAAAATAATATTAAATGATTTATTAACATATATGTTATAAATTTTGTATCATTGTTATTATCAAAGTTTTTATCTTTTAATGTAATGTTGCATTTTAGAGTTTCAAATTCATAATCTAGAAATATTGAAAACATAAAAATATTATTTTCAAAATGAAAATACGGATCACAAAATCCGAAAATAGTTTTCAACAACAAGTATGTCAAACATTGTTCGTTGAATTCATTTGATTTAGTGAATTTGAAAAGAAAAAAGAATTGGATTGCATGCCCAACAAATCCTAAATTTTCTATCAACTTTTCAGAAATCTAGAGAGATAATTAGAAAGTTTTCTCTAAAAAAACTTATCACTAACTAATCTTAAATATAAGAGGACTAAATTTAAATTTTTTAAACATAAGGACTAAATTCATGCTTTTTTTTAATAAAAAAATATTTAACATAAATCTAATATAGACACTAATGTCTTTTTTAGTACAATATATATAGTAATGTTGGTCCATGACAATAAGTGTATTTTTTTTACTACTGTGCCAACATCTAAGGGTTTTACGGTATTTATAACTCTTTTCTTAATTACTATTTTGTAATATTTAATTGGATTTTCTCATTTTTCTAAAACCGTTATTTATATAATCGGCTTTTTCATTCGAGTTTGACCTATATATATATATATATATATATWTATATATATATATATATATATATTTATTTATTTATTTTGCTATATCTACAAAATGACGCTGAATTGTAGGTAAGGAGATAGAAAATGTATTCCCGCCCTAACCTGACTCCATTCCCATCTTTAAAATTTGTTACTAATTTTTCTTTATTATATTTAATTAACGTTTGCATTCATATATTAACAAAAATGATTAAATATTTATATAAAGTTAATTATTAAAATAATATATAATCCACAAATATCAATTTCCTCTAAATTTTAATTTAAAGATACATGTTCTATACATTATTTAATATTTATTTGGGAATTTGATCCTCCCAAATCCTTCGAGTTCCAATTTTTCAAAATTTACACAATTTACTTTATGGGAACCGAGGCGAATCAAAAAATTCTATACTATTGTATAAAATATTGGCCAAATATAAAAACATCAACCAAATATCATTGACTTAATATTAATATTAATAATTTTTAACTCACTAAAAAAAGATTTATTGGTTAGGTTAAACATCTATCATGAATTTTTTATTTTCATGATTATTCAAGAAATATCGATCTATATCGATATTTTACCAATATTTCTAAAAATTGTGACCTCAATATTTCTATGGACATTGACCCTCCTAGTACCGACCAGATAGAGCTGAAATAGGCCAAAAAATTGGGCCCAGGAGCGAGAAGGCCCATTTGTGAAGAAAAAGGCCACTCGAGTCAGCCGTTGCTCTGTTGCTTGGCGCTCAAAATATTCCAAAAATTTATTGCAAGACAAGAATTTGATTCTCTCTCAAGTCTCAACCGTGTTTCTTCCTCTTCAAAATTTCCATCTGTGTTCTTTCTGTTCCCAATTTAATCCCATTTCTTCTAATAATGCCTCTGTTTCCTTCTCCTCATTAGCCCAATTTTCAACATTTCTTCCCATTTGGGTTTCAAAAAGGGAAAAAAAATCCCCAAGCTGGATTCGTTTGTGTTAACATTCTTCAGGCAATACTTGACTCTGTTCCGCAAGTATTTTATGAGGAAGGGGTTGAGAGATCTTGTCGGTGGCGTCGGGGACGGGGAGCCATCGTCGAGTTCGAAGAGGAAGAATGTATATCCGCCAATTGAAGCTTTCTGGCTGCCGCCGGCGGAGGCAGCACCGGTGGAGGCAAAGGGCAGCCGGGGGTTGAGTTCGAAGCTGCTTCAGCCGCTCAAGTTTCGGAGGTCGTCGGAAAAGAGGAGGAGCTTGAAGATGGCCATGGAAGGGAAACATGATCCCAAGGAAGAAGAAGCTGTTGATGCTTTAAGGGAAATGCTTTTTCTTGACTGTCAGTTGCCGCCCAAATTTAACGATTATCATACTCTTCTAAGGTGAGTTTCTTTCCTTTATAATTTGGCACAAACGCTGAGGATCGAATTTTTACTCCTACATCTATATATCGTCATATCTAAAAAAAGAAAAGAAAAATACAATTATATAGGTGAGAGGTGAATTGCTATCAACCTTTTGAACGATAAAAATGTAAGTTACGGTCGGAATTTGACAAAATGTGATTTGGGTTAATTAATGCAACTTTGGTGACTAAGTTCAATTAAAGGGATTTTTACATATTTTCTTGTTTGACAAATTATTAGTGATTAAATCATATCTTTACTTTCGCACGGTGAAGTTTAGAATATTTAATTACATCTTTAAATTTTGATTATAATAAATATTTGCAATCGATGTTTCATGTGACGCACTGATTAAATTAAAGTGATTATTTGACATAATATAAGATTATTATTAGTACAAGGGAATCATATGATTGGATTAAGAGCAACGAGCACAAAAATTCGATATGCTTACTCTTTATCCATCTAGCTTATTTCTTGCATTACGTTGTGTCAAATAAACTTGTGTCGTCCATCCATCTTTATTGTCTCACGTTTTATTAAACTATTATTTATTAGTCTAATTAGCCATTGTCGTACCAATATTTAAGTAATAATATTAACGACATAGATTTAATACATAAATGTTTTTTTTAGTACGTTCAAGATTTAATAAGTTTTCTTGTTTTTGATTTTGATTTCTTTGGATGTGTCATTTAGATTCCTACGCATGAGGGATTTTGATCGTCCAGCAGCAAAAGAAATGTTTTTGAAATTTATAAAATGGCGTGAGGAGTTTAGAACTGATGCAATTTCGAAGGTGATTTCCCTTTTCAAATTTATATTTAATTTCTTTACTCCTAGGCCTTCCATATACTCTTATATAAAACATATGTTTCATTTACTCTAATTTATAAATGTGCATGAGAGTTCAATCTTAAGTTAAAATATTATTTTGGTCCCGGTAATTTTAGTCTTAGTTAATTTTAGTCATGTTTATTTTGGTCTGCATACTTTTAACTTTGGTTCATTTTGATCCATGTACTTTTAAAAAGTCATAATTTTAGTCCTTATTTACAAGATTTTAACACAAATTTTACACATCGGAAACTATTTTGTATAAACTAATGTTTACATTTTAAGAAATATATTGAGTGTAATGTGGTGTTGAAATTGTGATAGAAAAAATGAGATTTAAAATAAAATGTAGGGACCAAAATGGTCACTTTTTAAAAGTACAGGACTAAAATGAACATTTTCAAAGTATAGAGATTAAAATGAACTAAAGTTGAAAGTACGGGGATCAAAACGAACCTTTTAAAAGTACATGAACTAAAATGAACAAAAAACAAAGGTACAGGATCAAACTATTATTTTAACCTCAATCTTAGAACTATTATTTTAACCTCAATCTTACTCTCCAGTCCGGATTAACATGATATAACATAAAAATATTTTATCCCCTCATTATCGATTGGTTTTGAGATGAAATCTCATTAATATTATAAATATGGTATCAGAACCCAAAAGTGGCACGGCACATGTTAAGGATCCCCATATGAGATGAAACCCATAAATATTAATAGTATAGGGTTTTGTATCATTGATTTACTCGGCCAATAACTATATTTTCTTAACGAGAAGTGTATAATTAAACCCGAACGCAGGAGTTTAAGTTCGAGGAGAGAGAAGAGGTGAAGAAGTGCTACCCTCATGGATTCCATGGAGTAGACAGATATGGGAGGCCAATCTACATTGAAAGGCTTGGGATGGTTGACCTCAACACACTACTTCAAGTGACAACACTTGAGAGGTTTGTGAAGTATCATGTGTCTGAGCAAGAGAAGACTTTGAGCATTAGATATCCTGCTTGTTCCATACAAGCCAAGAAGCACATTGCATCCACTACGAGCATTTTAGATGTCGGTGGTGTGGTACGAATATCTTTCCCTTGTGAGCTTCGTTCGATCCTTAACGTTTTAGAAGTTTCGATATGCTTCGATCGTCTCAAAGTTTTTGATTCGTCGTTTCATTTGAAGTTTGCCTACGTGATTTGTGTTGAAAGTTATTTGGGGAAGATGTCTTGTTTGTCTTAGGGGATGGCTAACTTCTCCAAGCCTGCGAGATATCTCTTTACGGAAATCCAAAAGATCGACAGCAATTACTATCCCGAGGTACGCAGAAGATGTATTGTTGGATCTTATTTTTGTTCTTGACGAGGAGTAGTAGAAATTGGCTTGGTAAGTTATTCGTTGTTGAACTCCAAAATGAGTAACAAGTTAGATATCCTATAAATTGATTAAATTTACCATAACTTATCGGTTTAAGCTTTTGAGTCCCATGGATGATTTAATATGATGGTATCTGAGCAAGAGTTTCTGTGTAACATATATATTCTTGACCAAAATTCGGAAGTTTGAATTCTCACCCTACATATTGAATTGAAAAAAAAAAAAAAACTTTCGTGTCATAAAGAGAAAATATCACATCATAGAGCTCATCTCCGCATTCACACACAAATAACTTGTCCCCCTCACTATGTACACCAAACACACACTAACGTTTATATAAAATATAGAATATTTTGACCCTAGATCCTAGGATCATATTCCTCTTGCTTTTTTTCTTAGTACAACAAATACGAGGTACGAGAGATTCAACCTTCAACTTTATAGAACGTAATGAATACATGATCTACTAACCTATATTCAGATAATATGTTTGAATAACAGTTTGAAAAGTATAGAGACCTCTCCGACCTCAAAGAGAAGAAATTAATATGTTTTTATCACTTAGCTATGCTCATTTTTAACGTATCGGGACGGAATTAATACAACGGTTAAAAGATATTGCTAATTAGTTTTAGTTGTGTGTTTTGAATTTTTTGTTTTGCAGACACTACATCAATTGTTTATAATCAATGCTGGGTCAGGGTTTAAGATACTATGGAAAGCATTGAGCGCATTTCTTGATGCACGAACCTTAGCTAAGATTCATGTTTGAAGTTTCTTCTCTTTTATTATCACTAATTTTATGTTTTCTTTTTTCTCTTTTGTTAATCTTAATTTCAATGTATGAAGTTTTATAATCTCAGGTTTTTGGACATAATTATGTTCAAGAGCTACGCGTGATCATCGATCCGAGGTAACGTACATTTTGTAACATTCTCATTGAAATAAGTCTCCTAAATGTTTTGTGTTTGTTGTTTTAATTATAACATTCATGAAATGGAAAGTTTGATAAGATTCTTTTTTTTGGCTAAATGTATTAAATAGTTTCTAATCTTTTAAGGTGTTTCTGAATTTTTGTTCTTTTATCTTTCAAAAATTTCAATTAAGTTTTTCTTTTAAATAATTGTTTAAAATTTATAATGGAAAAGTGATGTGTCATCTCAAATTAGGGTTTTGTTAACATAATTTGACACATGGGCCATGTTACTTAGACATGCCACTTGAAAGAAATAAAATTTATTAATGGACATAAATTAAAGCTGGTTAGACTTAAGAATGGTAGGTCAATAAAACAATAATTTAATGATATATAACTGGTTTGTTAACAAATTTTTACAATTTTCTTACGCACAATTTTTAATAGGTGAATGATAAAATTGAGAATTTTAAAAGATTAAAAACAAAATTGAAAAAAACCTAAATATTATGGTCTATTTTTTATGGGAACCCGCCAAAAATCGATAATATTATATCATTATAGAAATCATGAGAGACAGACTCATTTCTATTTTTTTCAATTTTGTTTTAGTTTTTGACAAAGTGAGTGAAGAAATCCATTAATTGACAAATTGATTGATGATTAAACTTGCAGTAATTTACCAAGTTTCCTAGGTGGAAATTGTGTTTGTTCTGAATATGGAGGTTGCCTATCAAGTGATAGGGGGCCTTGGAACAATCCTGACATTCTAGCCTTGCTTCAGGTCATTCTTCCTCTTGACATGGGTGATTATCGTAACGTCTAAATATTATTTTGGTCATGCCAACTCGAGCTTAGCTCAGCAGTAATTGACACTTGTTTCTGAGAACAAGTCATGAGTTCGAATCTTTCACCCCGTTTGTTCTATTAAAAAAAAAAACTATTTTGGTCAATGTATTTATAAAAATGAATCAATTTTAACTTTTTTTTTCCTTAGTACAGGGATTGCAGTGGAGGGACCAAAATTTGTCTCTATTTATAAAATTTTAATGTTGTCCACACAATAAAAACTCCTTAATCTTGCTAAAATTATGATGGAAAAAAATGAGATAAAAATAACGGGACCAAAATGATTACTTTTTAAAAATAAATAGAAAATTTGATGGTTTTTTTTTTCGAAAATACAAAAACTAAAATGAATAAAACTTAAAGATAGAGATACCAAAACGAATCAAAACAAAAAATATAAGAACTAAAATAGTATTTAAACCGTACTCTAATTTATCGAATTTAATATTTAGAAAAGAAAGGTTTTGGACCAAAATTTTCTTTGATTCAGCAGGTTATTTCTTCGGCAGATGAAGCTTGTGATTATGATGAAGAAGAAAGCGGTTTGGCTTCGGAAGATGCTTGGTTAGATAATAGAGTAAGCAAATTCTAATGCTTTCACATTTATGTTTTGGAAAAAAATTGAAAACGAAAATAAGAAAACAACAAATTTAGGACCCGTTTGGTAATATTTTCATTTATTTTGTTTTTCGTTTTCAATTTTATTAAGAAATATAAATATTTGATTACTATTGATGTTTATTATTTCATTTTTAAAAAAAAATTGTTTCATTTTTTTTAGAAACATTCTCAAAATTGTATAGAAATTTTGAAAATAACAAAAATAAGTTTTTTGTTTGATCGTGTTCTTATTTCTAATTTATTGCAAAATATAAATAAAAATATTGTTCATCATTCTTGAATGGATGGGTATTAAAGGCATAAAATTTTATTTTTCTTTATTAAACATAGGAAACGGAAATAAGGAACGATAATGTTATCGAACAGATCTCTAGGATTCTCGTTTGGTAATATTATCGTTTCTTGTTTTTGTTTTATCTTTTTAAAGAAAAATAGAGATGCATATCCCCACCACTCATAGATTCAAGAATGATAAAATTATTTTTCATTTATATTTTAAAACAAATTGGAAATAGAAATAAGAACATTATTGTTTTCAAGATTTTTATACGATAATGTTTCTGAAAATGAGAAATAAGAAAAATAAATAAGATTTTCATTTTATTTGATATTTTTTACTCTAAAAATTTTCAGAAAATATTCCTTCTGAATCCCTTAAGAGTATATTTTATTTATGATTTTTCATAAAAAAAATGACACGTTGAATTTTCGAATTCCGATCTTAATTAATTAAATATTTTTAACAAAATTCTAAACAAATCACTCTCGATGATTTTAACTTTCTCGAACCAAATACTTTATTATTCAATTTGGGCAGGACATTCATCGTTTAATTAAGATTCTTTTGTGTTTGACAAATTTACAACTTGAACAATGGACTAAAATTAAAAAAGAAATTATTATCTAATTCTACCGGATCCAAACTTCATAACATCTTTAAATACATGTTGATGAGATTATTTTGCAGAAAATTCAAGCCTTGGAAGAAGCTTTAGCAGAGACTAAGACAGTAAGTTTTATGGTTTAATTTAGTAATTTATTTTTCTTTATTAAATTCTAGACATGAAAAATAAGAAAACAAAAATCTCCCATCTTTAAATTGCAGAAAATTGAGGCATTAGAAACAGCACTTGAAGATACCAAAGTGGTGAGTTTTGAAGTAACGATTTAGTTATTGTATTTTTAAATTAGTAATAATTTAGACCTTAAATTTTAATACGTAGAAGTTAATCTTTGTAATTATAAAATTTTCAGTTGTTACTTCTCTCTTAATTTTTGTCTACAGATTTTGAGAGAGGTTACACAATATATAGACGACTTAAGAACGTGAAAAGAAAAATCCAATCGAATTGCATGGATTTCCATATTTTAAACCGAATGGTCCAAAATCAAAAGGCGGAGACAATGGAAAATTATGGAATCTACGTCAACAAAAATCTAAAAGTTGATGGTTTTATCTCATCAACTTTCATATAGACGTGGATTGCAATATACATACATATACGTGCAAAATATGAAGTCATTCATTCGGTCTATTCTTCATATAATGTGCAAAAAATTGTAACTTTATAACCTTGAAAACAAAACTTTTAACTCTTGATTGTAATTAAGTTAATTTTGGTTTGGTTGATGTGGTTAAATTTAACTAGTAGTTTCGTGTGTGTAATATATTAATTTTTAGTAATATGAACAAAATGTAGGTGGAGATTCAACGAGTGGAGATAGAGATACTTTATTCAATGTGTTATGCGAAGGTTAGTAATAGTTTTTATTATGCATTGTCTACCAAATCTAAAGCACATCAAATTTTAATTAGTTCATTGATTTAATTTTTAATATATTTTAATTTAATTTAAAGCACATCAAATTTTAATTAGTCTTAATTTAATAACATATAATTTTGTCATTGTTACTTGGTAATTTGTGATTTGTCAAAGTTTATCGATCAATATCACTATCTATATACATATTTATCTAAATTTATCAATCAATATCACTATATATATATATGTATGTATATACGCTATACGTATATTTTAGTTCTTCCACTTCCAAACATTTCATTTTATTAATTCTTAGCCTTTAGGAAAAAAAAATAGTGTTTACCATTAATTCTTCAATAAGTTATTTAACGAATATATGTCCTGATAGACCAATACTGGATTTTTAATTAATAATATTTTATGCAAGTTCTAGAAGTATAGTGGATAAATATAGAATGAATTGAATACACAACTTTAATATATTTTCTCCAAATTGGATAATAATTATATTTTTTGTTTATTGTTTATAAAAAGTAGGTTCGCTTCCTTACCATTTCTTTTTTTTTTTTTTTATGTTTTTGACATTTTAATTTTTAGTCTATTTTCGAATTTAAAAATAATAAAATAAAATATTATTAAAATGGTACCTTAAAATTTGTATTTTGATTTGAAATAGTTGCTCCGTCAAGAGCTCATGAGCTCATGATAAGGAGCACTTTTAGTAGTTGAAAATTTTACTTGTCCGGGATAAGATTGAACCTATGAAGTAAATGAGATATGTCTTGACAATTGAGCGCAATTTTTTATTTTTCCAAAATGTAAGATAAATGTGATTTTTGTTTTAAAATTTGAATTTGATTTGGATTACACTATATTTTTGTAAAATTATTATTTCTGGCTATATTTAAATTGCACATCCATGTATTCAATTTATTCTACACACTTTTAAATTTGGTAATGATTTAGTTCCTCAACTTTAATTTGTACTAACTTAATTTATAAATATTTTTAGTACAACAAATAGGTGTGAGGAAATCGAACTCATGTCCTCTTGATTAAAGATATGTGTCAATTATTGCTGAACTAAACACAATTGAACTTCGATCATTAATTTACATAGAAATCCATTAAATTTTGATAATATTTTTAATAATAGATATTAAATCGTTAAAAATTTTCAATTATAAAAATTAAATTGCTACATATTAATATTTAGTAATTAAATTGTTATAAATGAATAGTTACGAATTAAAAGTCAAACCGAACATATTTTAAGTGGTTAAGACATCTATCTAGGAGTTCGAACTTCACCCAACTGAGAAGAAAAAAAAA